CAGGAGCTGATGTTAGCTCAATTTGAGCAATCTTCACCGAGGAAACGACGCAGCGCTCGTCCAGAGACGGCAGTTCCTGAGAAACGCCGGAAGGAAGATAGCGCTAGCGCCCGCAGTGGTAAGCAGCGCTCCCCGTCTCACGACGGGGCGGAAGGAGAGAGCGTCGGCGGCGACTCTGGCGCTAGCGACTCGGTGTGGAAGCCGTTCGACCCGACGAACAAGGACACCATGCACTCATGGGTAGCCGACGATGTTGTCTTTTCTGAAGTAGAAAAGTACTTCAAGCATGACCAGCAGCGCCGGGGTACAGACTTAGAGGCGTGGCAGCAGAAGTTCAGCATGCCCGATAACGCTCCATCCACGATGGTTGCACCGAGTTTCAACGACAACATAGCCAGGGCTGTCGTCGACAATGACAAGAAGCAGGGTGAGCAGATCATTTCTCATGATAAGGCTCTAAAGAACATCCATTTGAACTTGGTGCATATTGGTACACCTTTGATGAATCTGTGGCAGATGATTCAGTGTTGTAATAGTGAGAACTTTGAAGAGTTGCAGCTAGAGATGAGTGACTGTGCTGGTTCAGCACTTGTGTTGCTGGGGTCGCTACATTCTCAGTTGGCGTTCACCCGACGCACGTTCATAGCAGAGTCATCCCAGAAGAAGTTTAGAGACCTTTTCAAGGCAGCATCTGAAGACCCAAAGTTCCTGTTCCCGCCTGACATGGGGTCAAAGGCTAAGGACTTGTCGTCAGAGACAAAAGTGCTGGTTGGCATGCTCAGCCAGGACGACCAGGGGAAGTCTTCAGTGCCGAGGCGTGGTGCTCGTCGCGGCGGCGGCAGAGCAACTGGCGGAGGGTTCAGCTACAGCTACAGAAACTCCCGCTACATGCCACGGGCCAATTATGGCCAGTACAGTTACAGGGGTTCACAAACCCGACAGTTCTACAACCGCAACCAGTCCTTTCAGTCTAAGTCGGGGGACGGGAAGCAGAAGCAGTCCAAGTAACAGACACGGCTTCAGAGGGAGAAGCACGCCGGCGTTTGACCGAATTTCAACATGTACCCAACACTACTCAGCTACTTCACAGAGGCAGGCTAGCCCACTTCATGCAGGAGTGGAGGCAGTTGACTTCCGATCCTTGGGTTCTTCAGTGCGTCAGGGGGTACAGGTTGGAATTTGCGAGAACGCCTCCGGTGCAACGACATCTGCCATCTTGTCGAGCAAGAAGTCCAGCTCAGATAGAAGTTCTGAGCGGAGAGGTAGAGACTCTACTTGCCAAAGGGGCAATAAAGGGAGTTCAGTATCAGCACAATCAGTTTGTTTCAACTTTGTTTACAGTGCCAAAAAAGACAGGAGGTCTTCGTCCTGTTATCAACCTGAAACCATTAAACAAGTTCTTAAATGTCCAGAAATTCAAGATGGAAACTCTGGGAGTTATCAAGAACCTGGTTCGACCAGGAGATTTTATGGCAAAGTTGGATCTCAAGGACGCATACTTTACCATCCCGGTAGATGCGGACAGTCGCCGGTTCCTCACCTTTCAGTGGCAGGGCCGGTTTTACCAGTTCCAGTGCCTGCCCTTCGGCGTGGCGACCGCCCCGAGGGTCTTCACGAAAGTGTTGAAAGTTCCTGTGGCTATCCTGCGAAGACGGGGGTTTCGTCTAGTGGTGTACTTGGACGACATCTTGGTGATCGGCCGCTCCAGAGAAGCATGCCGAGAAGCTCTTTGGGCAGCCATAGAGCTCCTGTCAAGGCTGGGATTCGTCCCCAACCTCGAGAAGTCTGTTCTAGAGCCATCACAACGCATAACCTTCCTCGGTTCCGGCATCGACACAACACAGATGGTTACTTTTCTCCCCGAGAGCAAAGTTCTAGAGCTACAGCAGTTAGCACAAGACGTACTGACTGCAGACAGAGGGATGTCGGCAAGAGAGTTAGCAAGCGTGATTGGCAGGCTACAAGCCACAACCACGTCCGTATGGCTGGCGCCGCTGCACTTCAGAAGTTTGCAGCGTCTGCTCATCACAGTTCTGCGTGTGACAAGAGGTCACTGGGAACAGCTCGTACCACTGACAGAATCAGCAAGAGCAGACTTAAGATGGTGGACAGATCACCTACCCAGACACAACAGTCGTCCAATCCTCTCACCCGCAGCAGACATTGTGGTGGAGACGGATGCCTCTACTGCCGGCTGGGGTGGGTACAGCAACGGCGTACATACAGGAGGCCGGCGGTCTGTCGAGGAAGGACAGGCACACATAAACATCCTAGAACTGCGTGCAGCGTCACTGACGGTTCGAGCGTTCTGCAAGGAACTAGTCAGCAAGCACGTGAAGGTCCTCACGGACAATGTGACGGTAGTCGCATATCTGAATCGTCTCGGAGGGACGAGATCTCAGAGATTGCTGGACATAGCTCTCGATCTATGGGAGTGGTGCGTGAACAGAGACTTGTATATCACAGCAGAACATGTACCAGGAAAGGAGAATGTCCGAGCGGATTACAATTCCCGGCATTTTTCTCTGGCCACGGAATGGACCCTGGATCGTCACACGTTCCTGGGTTTGCAAGCGACATTTCCACGACTCATGAAGGGGGTGGATCTGTTCGCAGGCGACATTTCCACGACTCATGAAGGGGGTGGATCTGTTCGCGTCCCGAACAAACTACCAGCTACCTCAGTATGTGTCCTGGCATCCAGAGCCAGAGGCAATCGGGACAGATGCGTTCACAATGAACTGGAACAGGTGGGATCTGCCATACGCTTTTCCCCCGTTCATGCTAGTCGCACCAACTCTAAGGAAAGCGCGAGAAGACAGAGCTCACCTGCTTCTCGTAGCTCCGATCTGGGACACAGCAGTCTGGTACCCAGTACTGCTGGAGATGCTGGTAGAAGAACCAGTGTTACTACCTCGCCACAACAGTCTCCTGACACAGCCAGAGTCAGGGATGCCTCACCCAGAGGGCACAAGAATGCAACTAGCCGCTTGGCATGTCTGCGGAGTCAGCACGACATGTATGGCATTTCGCCAGAGGTTAGCAAAATCCTCTTGGCATCATGGAGAGCAGGAACACAGAAGCTGTATGCTTCGGCCTGGGACAAGTGGAGTGGCTGGTGTGATCAACGGCACATCCATCCCGTTTCTGCACCTCTGAATAAGGTGCTAGACTTTCTGTTATCCTTGTACGACAAGGGTTTCCAGTACAGAACTATCAATGTGTACAGATCAGCTATATCTTCCACACATCTTCCCTTGGAAGGGCAGCCTCTAGGATCACATCCGTTGGTGAGGCGGTTCATGAAAGGTGTGTTTGAACTACGTCCAGCACTACCCAAGTATAGCTTTACCTGGAGCGTCGGTAAAGTTTTAAAGTTGCTAAGGAGTTGGTCTCCAGCAAGTTCTTTATCACTTCGTTTGTTAACCTTAAAACTTACTATGTTGTTTGCTCTTACTTCTGCGGGAAGAGAGCAGTCTCTTTCGTTGCTGGATCTGAGATTCAAGAAAAGAATCTCCGACGGAGTTTGTTTTACTGTTAACAGTCTCTCCAAGACTTCACGGTCGGGCAAAGTCACACACGACATTGTGATCCCAAGCTTCCCGCAGGACAGAAGAATTTGCCCGGTAACATACCTGAAAGCGTATGTATCAAGAACTAGAAGTTTTCATTTGTGCGACAGTTTTCTGTTTAGAGCTCTTGTGGAGCCACACCAGGCGGTATCTACGTCTACCATCGCTAGATGGCTAAAAACTGTGTTACAAGAGGCCGGGATCGACACCTCAAGGTTCACCGGACACTCAACTAGAGGGGCGTCTGTTTCTGCTGCGGCACGACAAGGCGTATCAACCAAGGACATTCTAGCAGCAGCTAATTGGTCTACAGCTTCTACTTTTAAGAGATTCTACAACAGACCGGTGGGGTCAGCTTCATTCGGAAGAAACGTCCTGGCCTCAGCAGCTACAAATCTCACCTGAAGTATTCTGTCTGCCTGACATAAGAGGGAATGCGGTAGACAAATACAAATTGTCCAAACCTAGTGATGGACAGGTGTAGTTGTCTCCGCATCCCTCGTTGTCAGGCAGACACCCTCCCTGACTGGTGCAGTTCTCCACGAGTTCCGGCACAACCCATCCCGAGAGGGCTTCGGCCAGGTGGAGCTGAAAAACTTTAGACTGGTGCGCATGCGCAGGGAGGGTGACCCTTCAACTTTGGGCGATACCAACTAGAGTCTACACGGGGGTGGACAGGCTCAATCACCTGAAGTATTCTGTCTGCCTGACAACGAGGGATGCGGAGACAACTACACCTGTCCATCACTAGGTTTGGACAATTTGTATTTGTGGCTCACCCCTACTCTTATATTGATAAGTCTGGCAGTATGTTCTGTAACGTGTGCGAGATGTGGCTGTCCTCAAACATGGGACCAGTAATATAAGTTGACTCATCTACGGTATAGTCTTGTACGTAGGTCAATTTTGTTGTACCCATGTGTCTGTCTGTATGTCTAGTTAAAGACCTAAAAAAATAAATGAAAGTCACTGTGCTTCTTTTGTTGTGTCAATAAAGTTCTCTTTGTTATTTGCCAAATTGAGATAACAGAAAAAAATTTCAGGCTGGCTAGAACACTGGGCCAACAACTTGAAGAAAAGTAAAATGTTAAATGTTTATACCCCCCCCCCAGGTTGATGTGAAGAGTGGTTTCTCCCTAAAAGGAATGACCACCAAACTATTCGGTGCCGACACTCCAGAAGTAAGAGAAAAGAAGATCAAACAACTGGAGGAACAGATCCAACAGACTGAGGAGCAGCTTCAGGCTGCCAAATGGGAACTCAGGTAAGAGGTCATGGTACATGCAGTCATTTATATCATACCTGGCCCATGATAACCTTTGATAATGGTGTTCATGGCCCAGGCTTCCATGGCTTCCATACATGTGTAGAATAATTTGAATGTGTTTTGCGCCAAGGAGTAATCCGGCAGGTCAGGCTGGTACCTCAGGCGATACGGAATACCACGTGTTGTATTCTATATCTTCATGACATGTGTATTGCTGGTTGTTTTATCATACCTAACACTGGCAACATGGCAACCACACCACAAGCTAAACCTCCTCTGTCCCCCCCTCAGCAGCAACATTGAATGGTCCCTAGTACAAGTTACTGTACAGTAAGTCCTGTGTCCCTCTATGCCCCCCTCAGCACCTACATTGAATGTTCCCTACTAGCACAAATACAAGTTACTGTATGGTAAGTTTTGTGTCCCTCTAGCTCTGTGCTCCCCTCAGGACCTACATTGAGTGGTCCCTAGGACAAGTTAAATCCCTTCTGTCCTCCCTCCCCAGCACCTACATTGAGCGGTCCCTTCAGGACGTGGAGCGGTTCAAGCGTCAGAAGGTCCGCGACCTACGGGAGATCTTCATCAACTACTCCATCATGCAGATCAAACTCTGCAAAAAGGTACGCTGAAACTTAGCAGTAGTTGTAGTTGTAGTAGTAGATGTAGTACCAGTAGTAGTAGCAGTTACTGTACAATGCATGTATAAATATACATATATGTAGAAGTAGAATAGTACTAGTAGTAGTAGCACTAGTAGTAGTACATGTAGTCATCTTAGTTGGTTTACGTCCTCTTCTAATTATATAGAGCTTTGCAATGCACAAGACATTGGCCTGTACATATACATGTAGCTAACAGTTGAATATGAACATCTACCAATTAGAGAATTACATGTACATGTACATTGTTCATAATTTAAAGTCTCAAATTTCTTTCAGGTTCTACATGCGACATGTAATTTACCCCTCCCCATAGTGTTTCTGGATCTTAATTCTGGATATTCCAGTTTTTGAAAATTAGAGGCATTAAATTTTTAAATTTCCATCCTTTTTCAGGGTATCTCCTTGTGGAACAATACCAAGGAATGCTTCACCAAGATGTGACCTTTCACCTTTGACCCTGTGCAATAAATACTCACCTTCAGTCCAACTGTCCAGTTTAAGTCCTGTGATATTGTTATTATTGTGAATCATTTTTTGCGGTATTTTTAAATTCAGTTTTCAATACGTTCTTTACCGTGAACAAATAATTTGCCGACTTTCTTTTTGCTGCACTTGCCGCCACTGCGAATATGTTTAGTTTTCTCAGACTGCGATCTTTTGCTGCCCCAAACATGAACTGATTTACAGTATTACAAAAGGAGATAGCTGAAACTATAATTTTCTTTGGCAGTTCTATAACTATAATCATTGATGTTACAGGCAGTTTTTAAGTCTTGTGTCTTTGGTAAAATGCAATTTATAGCCTTAGAAGCTTGGATATTTTGGCATTAGACAAGTTGTTAAACACAACAGACACAGAAACAAATATATCTCACAGAAGGCCCTCCATAAAATACCTGAGGAATTACATTAAATATATTTCTTAGTTAGGAAAATTGCCACTACAAGTGGTTGTGCTTGACATTAGTATGTTGTTTCATGGTGTAAGTGAAGACAACAGTGCAAAATGGCTAGTTGTAGTGATTAAAAAGGGGTTAGAGGACATTTTACTCACTCAAACAGCCACATATAATTATTATAATATAATGATTGTCTCCACTCCAGTTGCTACATAAGTACATGTAGTTGTGTTAAAGAATAATGTTTGTAATGTATCAGTGTCAAATGTCAGTGACTTGCAGATGGTACGTCTTTAATTTGTAAGGTTGTATAGTGTGACAGTGCTAAGTAATAGTTTTAAATGCTGCAACAAGGCTTAAATATTGTTTAACAGTAAAGCACATTTTGTTTGGGCGGTTCATGATTCAAAGTCCAAGGTTCTCCTTCAAAGGGGCTACCTTAGTTGTGATATAATTCCATGTGAACTAAAGTATCACACAGTTTTAGCTTTTGACGTACCAGCATTATAACAGTTTAGCTATGTAACATGTAGGTAAGTGTTGATTGTTCATTTAGAAACATTGCAAAACATGTGGACCAAAATAATAATCATATTCATGTATAGCAAGAAGTCTGTCAATAAGTTGCACTGTCAAAATCAGTAAACCCAGGCTACTGTATTATTATTATATGTTAAATGGTACATGTATACATGTATATCTCAATTGTTATTCGAGTTTAAATTGCTTTTAACTCAAGTCAAATAAAAGTTGAACTTTTAAACATAAAACAATAGTTCTGTCAGTATGTCGGGTCAGTTAGCTAATCTTAGCATGTACATCAACACAAGAAAGAATATCATTTTCGCATTATTACTTGTTGGGCAACCCTGTCAGTTGTAAGCCGAATTAAATACTAGTACATAAACTAGAGTTCCACGATCTCATACCTTCGTCAAATGATGTTAACCTTTTCAGCTGATGAATTATGAATGTTTCAAATTATGACAGATAATAAAAAAACAGGATATTGAAGTTTAATTAAAAAAATGTTTTAGTTTAGTTTAAATAAAATCAAGCAACTGACTTGATTCTCTGAATGGTCAGACATTTTAGACAGTATCCACTAACTTCAGTGACTGAGAATGAATTTCAAGCTAATGAAGGAAAACTCACTGACCACAAACAAGTACCCAGTATTTTGCTTGCACAACAGTCCACTTTATTTCACAACACCATCCATATTTCATCCAGCCACACTACATGTGAAGTGAACAAAATAAGGGTGTGGTATGAAAGGTCATTACCATAGCAACAGCTGACCTTTGACCTATTTCTAGAGTAAGAATTCGAAATTTAAGTAAAGACTAATGTACGAGTGATACATTGTATGACTAATAGGTGGGGCCTTTTTAAAGTCAAGCATAATACACTGTCTTGGCATAAGACATGTAACTAGTATAAGGAAAATCCACCAATAACTATGCCAAAACAATAGTCTATATAAAAATTAATGGTCCATGTAACCATGGAGCTCTTTTACCTCCATGATTTAACATAAGTACTTAAATAAAATGTCTCTTAATTTAATACTGGGAGGCTTGATTTCTTGATACTATGGCACATTCTACTACAGCACCTCTCTTTTAGATTTTTGTGTCAGTAATAAGTATGATTGATAATTCTGACACTTTCCTAAAAACAAAAAAAAGCAAGCAAGTCTACAGTGAGGACAAAACAAGAGAAAGAACATTACTAGAAACTGTTTTTAACAGCACTGATAGATAGGTCATGTGACTATATGGTGCCTTTTCATTGGTCATCAGGTGGGAATACACATGCAGTACATTTTCCATCTAATCAACAAGAAACTATTGAAGCAAATTCACATCCGTTGGATACTGTTCTTTGTCTTGAGTATTGGTTGCAACTACACGATATGTTCAGCAGACATGATTTTCAATCACTTCTTTGTACATACACACAGTCAATGTCATGTACAAGACGTAGAAAACAATGTTTTCTTCTATAGGAAAATACACTATTTTGCTGTCAGACTATACACACATCAACTATTGTATTCTTTGTTTATACTTTGGGCACTCAATACACTACTGCTAAAACACACCCTCAAGGTATATCTACATGTAGTACATTGTACTAGTCTTGGTTAAAATACAGTCTTAGACAGATATCCATCCCTTTTGCTACATGTACATTGTTTGTTGGATTTTGTTATCATGAGAAAGATATACATTGTCGCCTGAGTAGGTGGTATTACTACAATAATTTTATAATGAGTAAGCTACAAATGTTGACTACACATATAATTGCAGGGATTTGTATGTCCTGCATATTACCAAGGACATTACAATTGTATGTCTTTGATATTACTATCAGTTGTGCCCCAGGTACATTGTAGTGTTAAGTGTTTCGTTAAAAAGTTTTCCAAATGAAAAGGATTTAATTTAACAGAAAGTTTAACTGTGAAACATGAGGTTGCAATGTTGATGTGACTTTTTTGGTGTAAATTTTTACACGTGGTCAGATTGAGTTTTAGGCATTTAAAGTTGAGTCAGTTTTTACGAAAATTTCTATTCAAGTTTAACATACAGTCAGCTTGCATATTCTGCACAAAAGTTTTACCTTCGTGGACAGAAATTTGTTTTCTGTGTGACTACGTGTGATTGCCTGTGTTTCCATAGTTATATATTATATTAAGGGCACACTAACAGGAAGTTAGGTCAAAAGTCCCAGAAAAGGTTATCACATGTCCTGTCTTCACTTCTTGCCATATGCGTGCATGTTGTCTTATGGGATCCAATGGGAAAATGCATAGACCAGCAATGAAAAATGCACAGCAATGAATGTAACAAGATTTAGAAATATTGCAAAAATGTAGGAATGAGATCTTTGATTTCTTGTTATATTTAATTTACTGTCAAGAGATTTTGTGAATGATAGTTTATCATGTGAAAAGAAAGAAGCAGTAATTGTAATATTCATACCATGTACAAAAATGTATAACAAGCACAATGTGACAAAGTCTTCAACAACCTTACCACATCAACTGTTTTGTAAAACAGCAAAAGAAATTCACTGTAAAAATTGCTTCTCATAATACACCTTTGTTCATAACCAGATGGACTGACTTTTCTGGCCAAACTGTATTGATACAATACATTTCTCAGCAAAATAAGAGCAACACTACATTTTGTAAGACAAGCAAAACACAAAAGTTAGGAATTTGAAGTAGAAAGTAGATGGATGCAGTTTCTAGACAGTGTCCTTGAAGGATTCTAAAACATCGCATCTGGTTTTCCTAAACTAGAGACAAGAAGATGTGGTTTTGTGACAACATCTGTCTATTGAAAGAAACTTCACACTTCTTATTAATAAGTAATAGTAGTCTATAAATTCAACTACACTATGTATACAGTGTTACAGACATTAATGAACAAAAAAGAACATCTCTGCAGCATTTCACAATGGGACGTCACCCTAAGTTTGCTAAGAAGGTATCACACGGATGTTCTTTGTTGGTCTCTCACTAGTACAGCTGTTCTGTTTGTCCCAATTACAAGTCCTCACCGAGACGTTCAATCTCGTCTACCAGGAAGTCCAGGTCTTCCTCCGTCACAGTAGGGCTCGAGAACACCTGTAAGAAACCATTATTTACAAACTTCAGTTGGTATTGTTATGGTAGACTACATTTGTGAGTAACTTTTCATTGTAAAGGCATCCAGTGCAACTTCAGGGTGGCAAAATGGGATGTTCAAATTCAATTTTCTGGTCATTTGCAATGTAGTAAGTTGATCCTGTCCCATAGCGATCTACATGACTTGTACATATTTGTGAGGCAAAAATCTGCTGATGGAAAACGTTTCCTTGTCTTGTATCGTAGGCTGGTTCTTGCAATTTTTGGGTGGTACCCAAAAAATAAAGGGCTATTTGGTTTTTCAAATGCTCGTATGAAATGATGATGAGAAGGTGCTATTATATGGTAGTAAATGTCAATATCAGACAGATTTTGTTGTCCAGAATATTTTTTTGTTTTGCCTGAAATTGCATTGGATGCCTTTAAAATCAGGAGCAACTTGATTTCGTCAGAAATATTAATCAGTTAACATTTGATGCTATGATGATATTCAGTTAAACTTTCAGTACTGGTAGAGAATACCATATACCTGAATAGTTGTAACTATACAATGTAACATTCAGTGCAAGAAATATCCAGAAAATGCACACTGTACCTGTCGGAAGAAGTTAGGCTTGTTGCCCAAAGGTTGGTACCCGACCAGCATGGTACCTGACAACACCATTCTCTCCTTGATCTTCGGTGCAACCTGCAACAAAGCAGACCTACAAATTCAGCTTCAACAGTCTACAACGTCATATAGCTGCTTTCGTGGCCTTTCAAGGTTCTTCTCTGTTTATAGTGAAAAAATGGCTCCAGAGAGTCTGACATTTAACTTTAAGATTAGAGAAAGATACATGTATGTAATACAACAGTCATTTTGATGACTTAATTCTTGATCCAGTTGTCAAAATCTGCATAAGGCATAAAACCTGGACTTGTAATGTAAAAGGCTGGCATTTAATATAAGGGGTGATCTGTAGTCACCAGTGCAATATCCTGTTTACAATTGTGATAGGTTAGGGGTTCAATTGTCCTTGCAATTGATACCAATACCTACTTAATTACTGCATAGTACACTTACTCTAACTGGAAAGGTATGGAAGTTGAACACACACCACTGCCAGTGTACTATCCCCTGCTACAGCATCATCTATGCTCACACTGCTGTGTGGCCCAAGGGCTAATGATACTGAGATGGACATTGCCCTGGCCCTGTGTGTATTACACCTTGTGTAACGTATTCTGAAGTCTGACCTGGTGCAGTTTGTCCTTGTAGTCTGCTTCGTCCTCCTTCCCTCGCAGACTGGGCGGAATGTACCAGAAACAGACGTTGCTGCACTCGGGCTGGGGAGGGGGGTATCAAGAAATTAAATTTATCATCATAAATACAGCTTTAACTGGTCTAACAACAAAATTAGGATACATAGAAGAATAATGTAGAGTTATATTAGAGCAGACTTGAGAAGAAAAGACATTGAGGAATGAAGGCTCGAGGAATGAAGCTTCTTTTTTGTAAAGTTACTAAAATGCAAATATTTAGAAATGTATTTGTACAGAAGTACACATACACACAAGGGCAAAGTCTTCTTCTTTCAAAACAATTGAGCAGACTTTTTCAATTTTCCTCCTTGTTAAATTTTATGTGGTGTTCAATCCCTAAGTTGTGTGACCAGCCTCACCTCATCAAGAACCAACTTGAAGCCTTCCCTGGCCTTCACTTTTTCCACTAGGTACCTGTGAAAACAAAAAATAAATTAATGAATATAATATAAATATATACATGTATATCATAATCATTTTCCTTTCTGAAGGGTGCAAAATGGGACTGCTTGCCACCTGTAGTTTTTTACCTTCACAGAAGAAAAACATTTTGTTTTTGTTTGGTTTCTTCCTCTTCTCCAAACAAAAAAGGTCAACGACCTGAACCAGATAGCTGTCATCATGGTAACAGGTGATGTGGTATTGTTACATTATGAAGCAAGTTGTAGGCCAGAGTGGGAGAGTAAGAGTATTTGAGTAAGAATAAACTCTGAGCAGTACTTTGTTGTTACCTTTCTTATGTGAAGGTAAACATTATGCATTTGCTTTGCAAATGTTAGATTTCTAGTTAGTTCTTTACCTCGTCTTGTCGAAGATAGCGTCCATGTCCTGGTGAAAGCCCTGGTTACCCTTCGCCTTCCACATCAGCCACAGCTTAAACACGTCCACTTTGCGCCCACACTGCATGGACTTGTCTCCGGTGTCGTACGAGACGTCGTAGAACTTGTCCTGCTGGAACAGGTACTTGGCCTTGGCCTCGTGACAATGTTGTAGGAGGTTCTGCCCAGGAAGAAGTAAGAACATCATTTTCAAACATTCAGTTTACCACCTACTTCTTTATTTCAGACCTTACATAGACTAGAGCATCAACATTTACCTCTGACTATTTAGTCCTTTGCTCAGTTCCCATTGCTTTTACATGTATTTAGTGCTATCAGTGGTCTGCTTTGTTTCTTGATTCCTATTTTGTACCATTTTGTTACTTTTCTCTCCTTGTCACACTTTTTTGTACATCCTACTGTGGCATAATGTTGCTGGTAGACTAAGCTTAGTCTAATAACAACTCTTTCTATATCTCAACACAAAGATGACAAACTAGGCAAAATTTTTATCCACCATGAGAGACAAAATTCCAACAAATGACGGAAAGCAGGATGCACTGATCCTCATACAAAATGAAAATTTGCCAGCCTTACCTCGTGCTTGAGAAGAAAAGCGGAACACTGCTGCCCGGCGCCCATCATCTTGTGTGGGTTCCACGTGATAGAGTCAGACCTCTCCACGCCGCGTACCCTACTGGCACGGTACTTTGGTGACATCATCACACCACCACCCCAGGCAGCCTGGCAACACAATGAAACCATTCTTTATTTAAAAAATATGAAATTTCTAATCTCCAACCAGATCCCTTTCAGTGGCAAGACAGTATCCAAATGGGGCAGAGGAGTGTCAGCAGCCTTATTTATGAAATTAAATTCCCATGAAAAATGACTTAACAGTAGTGAGAGTCAAGTTGTCCTCTCAGGCCTCTATTTTCAACTCTGTCATGATCTTGCTGAATTTGTGACAGTTCTACAACATTGAAATTGTGCAACAGGCTACAATGAATGTGGCCACCCGTACTTGTAAACAAATGGATGAACATACTGGAAAATAAATGTAAACATTGCCAGCCACTCACATCAACGTGCATCCACAGTCCGTGTTTCTCGCACACGTTGGCAACCTCCTCCAGAGGATCGTAGGCCCCGAGCACGGTGGTCCCGGCAGTACAGTTCACAAAGAACGGAACAGCGCCCTGCAAAATAGAAACAACAACAAAGCAGCGCCGTCAGCACAGACAACAAAGTGGCTAACCTAAAATGTCTAACAGCTACTGTTGGCTAGACCAATTTCATTTGTAGTTTTTAATTAACCTTCTCCATGCCGTATACTGATGGGCAAGTACAAGTTCAAACTTGGCTCGGCAAGTAGAAGGTTAAAGGATTTTTCAGATCTATTTCTAAAAATTAGTTCAAATTTAAGTTTTGTTGGAAAATCCTCTAAACTAAGAATGGAATTGGTCTTGCACGAGTATAGTCTATACACAACAAGTTTTCTTTTACAATATGTGAATGCCTACCAAGCTGTACAGTACATTTTCATCAAGTTTACAGATACAGCTGGGTAAATCAGGCTGACTTTAATACTTGTATAGTCTGTGTCAGTTATTATTTGATAGTCTCTGAACAAATTTCAAAAAAGAAAAGGCCTATGAAAAGAGCAGAATTACTATGTAACTTGTTTCTTGGACTAACTTGTGGAATTAGCATATGATGCTTTTGAAATTTAATACATTATAAATACTTAGTCTGATACTGAGACAAAAAACTATTCTTGCCAGGATTACCCAGATGACACTGTGAACTTTCACATGACGATCACATGATAGTCACATGACAATCACATGACAGGTGTGTGGGTAAGACATGGAACACCAAAGGTCACAAACAGATGATCACAAACATCACCTCAGCCTTAACTCGCAGGATCTGTGCCTCAAGGTCGGACGTTATCATCTTACCCCTAGAAGAATAAGAGTGCGGTCAAACAACAAATTCTGTTGAACAAACAAACAAACAAACTGCTCTCTTCACAACAGTCTATATGTAATGTATTAACTAAGAGAGCCTGTGCACATGTACATTGTAGCTTTTTCCATCCAGTTTGGCAATAATTGTGCAATCCATGATGTCCAGGACTGATCTTGGTAAAAATTATTGTCTAAAATGTTTTAACAAAAGGAACCCACTTTGAAGAAAGTTGCTGACAATTCTTGAGTATCCAAAAGCTCACCAAAGTGCACCCTTTTTGTAATGTAAATAATTTTGGGGACAATCTTTGCTACATAGAAAATGTGTTGACGAGAGAGTAAAACCCATCTCCATTGATGTGCAGTGGCAGAAGACTCAGCTTAAGTTTGTGATATTTACCTTTCATCACAGTTGACCAACACAACGTTGTTGGTTCCAATCCCCAAGACACTAGCAGCTTTCTTGATGGAATAATGGCTCTGTAAATAATGCCAATATACATAAATACTGTAACTGTTATAGAGACAAAATCTAAGCTAAATGTTTTTATGCATTCAGAATTATAGCACTGTTACAAGAGTACAAAATGCACCCAACACCTAGACAGAAATAGAAAGTACAGTATGCTTTCCCATGGATGCAATTCCATGGATCTTGGGGCTGGAGGTGCCAACCCCGCTTGGGCATAGTGGGAGGGGTTGCATTCATCATTTTAGATGGTGACATAAAACACCCTATTTGGGGCAGCTTCAGACATTAAAAATAGAAAACAGGATTCCTTAACAGGTTTTCAGCACTAAGGACAGACCTTGCATCGAAACTGAATATGAGTTTTGCATTTGTTAATGTTATGTGCATTTTTGTTTCATTTTCACACCATATTTTCCCCCAATGATCCTTCCATGAGGAGTTAACCTGCAGCCATATGTAAGAACAACATCAACAAATCAACAACAACAATAATGGAAAAAGAAGTCACCTGTTTGGATGTAAAAACCACGAGTCTAGGCAGCCCAAACAGCCCAGTCTTCTTGATGTCAGGCATGTAGCGATAACGGGCCACATTCAGGGCATACAGGTTTGATATAGAGCCACCTAGCAAGAAAACACATTATTGCAGACACAGCTGACGTATAGGTACTGTCTCAAGCTTATAACATGTAGTGCAGGAAAATTCCACTTCAAGCTGTCAAAAGCATACTAGTACCTCGAAATAGTTATTTTTCATCACAAAGTAATGAAAACAATTTTTCCCATTTGAAGAACTGACCTGGACAGAAGATGCCATCTCCTCCAGTGTACCCCACAATGTCTCTCATCTTATGGAGAACAACATTCTCCATAATAGTGAAGACTGGGGCAACCTCAAAGGTGTATCTGTAGAGATGGAACATAGCAGCATATTCTCAGATGTAGCTTTCAACTTCAGAGCAGCTATACAAGCCATTTAGTCATATAATTCAGTGTTATTTTAGGGTCTGCATGGGGGATCCTGGCAATGCTTAACGATAAATTCCAGAGGATCGTCATTGGACATTATTGACATGTTGCAGTTTCAATTTATGCAGTTGTAATGCCAGTCAAGCAGACTGTGTCCTGCACCACTTGCAAGAAAAGACAAATGAGCCGATAACTGTAACACACTTTAAGTGGCAAACATTAACCCACAGAAGTATATTATACACATGTGCTTGTTCCATCCGTGAATAGTTAGAATAGACTCTTTTACACCACCAATTCTTTAATTTAGCCTACCATCTGTCACCTTACTCAGGGCAATTCTAACTGGTTCACATTGCACTGCAGCACATGTGTCGCTGCTATAGATGCATTCCCAAAAAATGTAAATATTTTTTGCAGTACTAGCTATTTCTGCAAGGTGTCTCTACTCACTGGCTGGTGTTGAGTGTCTCGGTGAGCCACTGGCCTGCCAGGGCGTAAGAATTCTGCCCCGAAAACAGCTGGTTGAAGAAACGGGGGTGACCTGAGTAAGCAAACAGACACAAAACGATAAATAACCAAATTGATACCTGAAGAATGTGCATTTTGACAGTGTTATTATGTGTATATGCCTAACACCAACTTTAATTTTGATAAACAATATATATATACATGTACTACAATCCGTGTCATTGTATCTGCACCCTATAAAAACCTAGGAATGAAATATCGCCTGGTTCAAAATTTTTCTCTCCCTATCCTAATATCAACTGTACTCTATCCTAGTTTATTAGTAGTAGTATACTAGTAACACAATCATAAGACAAGCATTGGACACAAATATAGTAAATGATAATTTATTTCTGAACAGAGCTTTCACATTTCAAAGTCTGCTGCAACACACAGACTCAACATGTTTTTGCCCAAGTATGGTCTGTTGTAGCCAACCTTGTCAACATACAGTAAATGGACTTGCAAATGTTAAACTGGTACCACTTTAAAATCCTGTGAGACACTTCACCTCTTAGTATCTAGCTGTCTCACTCAAGCTCCTTATTTTTGAGGATTTCAGAAGTGTCTACACATAGAAGCTAATGTAAAACAAAGCAGCTTAAGTGCACTCTTCTGTGTTATGATTAGGTCTGCATTCACAGCTGCATTTAGCACATCAAATGGTACATTTAAGAAAAAAGATGCTTGATTTGCTGGGCTAGGATATTTGTTTGGAAAAAATGGCCATTTACTTCTGCTGCACAAAATCATCACTGATTAACTGAATTGTTGCTAGAATGCTGCAAATTCACATATTCAGTATTTGAGTCTGTTAAGAACAGCCATTCAGCACCATGAAAAGGGCTACATGTATTCAGCACCAAGGAGAGGACTACTTTCAGAATAAGTACATGTACATGTAACATCATAGAATTCTATCTAAAAATCTGTGGAACTTTGCTTTTTAACCACCAAAATGGCATTAAGTACTGTGTCTGTATTGTAAAAAGAAATTTCTTCTATTGAAATGTACTTTTAGTATAAAAAAACTGAGGATTTCCTCGAATCTGACTTAAGTACAAGTACTTTAGAAGTGACTACTGCTACTGCGGTATCTGTACAACTTTCTTCACCTAGAGGCAGAAAACAGATCACATATTGGCACTATCTAACAAGCTGCAGCATAAATGACTTCATGGTAGATATCAGCCTGCTAATTTATAAACATTCAGCCCTCCCTGGAGCTACAGAGTGGTCTGCTGTAGTGTAGATAAAGCCAGGCTCTGACCAAAGAGCACATCTCCCCCACAGGCATTCAGTCTTGTAGCTCTTCTTCAATTCAAGGAACTGATAAAAGTAAAACATGACAGGGCAACAGTTACACGTACAATATTGCTTTTCATGTACTAAACTGATGTAGAGCTGTGTATCTAAACTAATTTTAGGTACAGGTACATGGGTTTAGGTACAGGTCTGGACACATTACAGCTACACACCTTAACTGATGTGTAGTGCACTCTGATTCTGCAAAATGCCTTAAGACCGCCACATTAAAACAATTGCAAAGTGAATTCAAAAGTTCTGCACACTTCAGATATCCTGGTGTGTGAGACAATTCTTGAGAAGGCTGTAATATCACAGTGCTTTTCTGAATGCAGCAGTCTTTGGTTAGCAAATCTGGCAGAATTTTTCTTTCGTACCTCTATCTGATCCTACTTTTACTGAACTAACATTTTATGTCTAATGCCTGTTCAGAACTATCCATTGAAAAATAGTGGAGATATGCTATCCCTTTTTAATCTTCCAGATACCAATACATGTATAAGTGCTCCAAACTTGTCTGTAAATTTTAACTTCTTGCTTCTTACACTTTGAAAGGAGAAAATGTCTTCAGCTCTTTAAAGTAAGTTTTAGGTTGCTATAACTGCCTGTATTTTAACCATACTTTTGAACAAGTACTCAGAAAAAAGTGGTCCTCTTTTCCATAAGTTTGAGCTACTGTCCCACAGCATACATAAAGAAACTGCAAGATGTAGCTAATGAACAACTTCGCTTAACGTATGTATTTAACTTATCCTGTATCCAAAATAACCCATAATAATGAGCTTTAATTAAGAGACAGCTAATTTCTTAGCTCATTAACTCTTTTCTTCTCTATCAGTCTGGCTCCACATGTTTTACATATGCAATAACCTGAGGAATAAGTCATCCCTGCCTTATTTCTAGTCAATGAAGAATGCTCGACTTTCAGACAAAAGTAGCCCGATAAAGACTGCGCCATTTAGTAGACTCAAAGGAGGTCTGACATCTTAATCCCATCATTTTTCTCCGGGTCCAGTCGATATTAAAAATCAGAAGCGGCAAACAGAGCGGTGGTTGGGGAGAATTGATAGGGTGGTGGGAAGACTTGATAAGTCCATTGACTGATACCAGTGGGGACATCAGTCATTCATAACAGTCTTTATCCCTCCCTATCAGAGACTTTCATCAGGGAAAATAAATTACCTGCATTTAGTACCCAGACAGAGCGTTATTACTTCAGTCGGAGGAACATTTCCGAGCCGTGATTAACGCAGGCATTTATATACTTCTGAAGGAGTATTGAACAAGGTGATAAGAACATTTCTAGTGCGTACAATAATGCACCGGGCAGACTGTAGTGAAACATTCACAACTTCCACAGAAGCACATGAACAATTAAGACTTAGAGTCTAGAAATTCTCAAATATTGCAGGGATTCAGTATATATATATGTATATATATATAGGTATATCCTGCATCCCTAAAATATTTGAAAGTTTTTAGGCAGAATGTCAGATTATGTGAATGGTGCTTTTTAACTTTGGATGTTGAATTTTTTTTGGAGGCAATGCCTACATAGATTCTAAATATCAACTTTAAATATGTTTCAATGAGTGTGTGAGTGAATAACAAATTTACCTACTGTTATTTCTAGGACTAAGAAATTTCTTTAGTTTGTAAATTTGTCAGAGAACCAACAAATTAAATTGATATGGCCTAAGGCTTGGCCATATGAGGTACTGTATGTGATGTCAAATTATGGCTAACCCAGGGTGTATCAATGCTTTTGTACCAGTCTTTGTGAAGGGCTAACGCAGCGTGTATAATGAGTTACCCTCTTAAGTGTTAAATTGACAGTTATGAAGTAGCTGGCACACGGAACTCAATCAATTATTCCCAGACTTCAAATGTTGCAGTACTGGACAGCGATGGGTAATCATGCTCTGAAACTGGCTCTTCACCTGGCAAGGCTTTCAAACCTGCCTTTTAAACACACTTTTTTCAGGGCTTGAAAACCATACTTTTCGAAGTTGATATTAAAGTCACTTCATATCAACATACTGAGTTGAAACAACAATATCCCAATGTAACGTTATATTGACATTCACGGAACAAAAATTCAGAAAAGTGTGATGGGCAACAGTTACTGGTAGAATCCTGGACTGACTTTTGGGGTATCACCCTAAAAAGGGGCTCGTTTTGGGGCTTGTTTCTGTGCTGTTTTAAACATCCATAGAATGAAATTCTGATGCAAATGTGCTGTTATTCGGTAGTATGTGTAATACCATACAGATTACTTTATTCAGAATGTTTCCATTTTTGTTGCCCTGAAATTGAATTGGATGCCTTTAATAACTGCCAGTTTTTGGCACATTACAAATATTAGTGTTTTCTCATTGACTGTTACCAAGTTCTGATGATTCCATTTTCACTCATACTGTAGATTAACTTATGCCTGCTTGTTTACTTCACAGTAGATATTTGTGGAAAAAAGTTTATTATCGATGTGGAGAGGTCACCTCAAAAATTGCAAACTAAAACCACTGCAAATATTTCAACTTTTACAGTTACTGTCATAGTAGTATTCCTACTGCAGACCTTTGACCCAGTCATTAGGATCACAGTGGAGTTAAAAGCCAGTAGACAGGACAGAGGGTGTTTGAAGGATTGATTGGACACCTGTCAGGTCAAAGGTTAAACACATTACTACCATGGCTGCCCGTTTGATTGTTTGTGTTGGAATGTATACATTGCAATTTTACAATTTAAAATTTTAGACATAGAATGACCAATGATCATTGAGAATTACAAACTGAATTTTTTCCATTGTGCCATCTAATGTCTGTATTTTAACTTCTGGATGCAGAGTATATAGCGGTACTCCGTGTATTTTTGGTTACCTATTTGGTAATATGCAACTTTTGATATAAAAAGCATGTAGAAAGAGATATGTCTATTATAGTAAAAGGAAAAACTTTGTGTGACAAACAAGAGTGGTGGAGATTATAGATCTATTTACAACACCCCTGTGTTTAGGCTTGTTGGGAAACACAGGACCAGAGTTGTCAAAATATATTGGTGTGCACAAGTAGGAACACGTGTGTCAGAATGTAGGAGTGTAACCAAGCGTGGTGCCTTTTCCCAAAGAATTCCCAATGAGATAGATAATGAGAGTGACCCAGTATATTTCCCTACACGGAGGTTGTCAGTTCTAATGAAGTAAATGCATGATGGGAACAGTGGAAGGTCAGAAGGTTAGTGAGGCCTTTCAAGCTGCTTCAGGGTTCAGTGGCAGACAAAAGTAGTGAGCGAGTCAGTCAGTAAATACAAGAATCATTTTCTGACAAAGTGACGTAGGGGGAATGGAGCTCAGTGTGGGCTCTAAAACAAATGTCTGGTTTGCATTGCAGTTTGTTCCTTTGGCCGATAAATTAATTTCCAGGATTGTGAAAGATACAAAATCTATTAAGAATAAGATTCTGAGAGAGAAAAAGGGGAAAACATTCCACTCACCTGGTGCTGAAATGTTCCTTAAAAACCCCATTTATCCTAAATTTTTATAAGGCCACACTGACTTAATTTTATGGATGACATCCTCTGAAGACCCACAAACTAGTGCGCGTGGGCGAAAAAAAAAAAAAAAATCCAGCCAAAAATAAAAACGCTACTAAACCACAGTAATACAAAGTCGGTATTGTGACTTTGCAGCATTACATAGCGATATATACGAGAAGCCGGCACATGCTGGCT